CAGACAGACAGACAGACAGACAGACAGACAGACAGACAGACAGACAGACAGACAGGTGGAGTAGCCAAGGCTCCACAGATCATAGAAACACCTTTCTCCTAACACTCAGAGAAAACTGGAGGACAATTCCATACCAACAGTCCCCCTACCAAAGATTCTCCACTACACGATCTTTGCAAATCCATAAAACAGTCCCCCTACCAAAGATTCTACTACACGATCTTTGCTCCAACCACCCCGAAACAGGACAATTCCATACAACCAGTTCACTTACTATCCAGAAACAGGACAATTCTTCCGTGCCAAGGCAGAGCGACATATCTGCACTATTTATGATTTTGAGTTACGTCGCGCCGCCATTGGAAATGTGGGCAAGGCCCTTCAGTTACGTCTGTTTGCCATTGTGAAATCTCCTATTTGTAGTGCAGATACGTCTTCCTGCCTTAAACACAAGATGCAGAATGGGTATAGGCATCCATATAAGCGAAGATGCAAAAATTAATAATTTTTGCAGATACGTCGGTCTGCCTTGGCACGGCAGAATTCCATACCAACAGTTCTCCAACCACCCCGTAACAGGACAATTCCATACCAACAGTTCCCATACCAAAGATTCTACCACACGATCTTTGCCCCAACCACCCAGAAACACGACAATTCCATACCAACAGTTCTCCAACCACTCAGAAACAGGACAATTCCATACCAACAGTCCCCCTACCAAAGATTCTCTACTACACGATCTTTTCCCTTACACTTACATATCCAGAAACAGGACAATTCCATACCAACAGTTCTCCTATCACCCAAAAAAACCCCAGGATAATTCCATACCAACAGTTCTCCTATCACCCAGAAACACGACAATTCCATACCAACAGTTCTCCTACCATCCAAAAACAGGACAATTCCATACCAACGATCCCCCTACCAAAGATTCTCTACTACACGATCTTTGCCCCTACCACCATAAAACAGGGCAATTCCACACCAACAGTTCTCCAACCACCCAGAAACAGGACAATTCCATACCAACAGTTCTCCTGCCACCCCGAGCACCACCGTTAACAGCTGTAGCTCTATTGCTGTCGCTGCCACTGCTCCTCCCGTCCCCAGGCACATTGCAACAGCCACCGAATCCGCTGTTCATGGAAGGATCCCCTGCCAAAATTACGTGTTGTCTTATGTTTGGTTTGCAACTAAAATACAATGGAAAGTATTTATAGATAAAAGAAACACATTATCTAGCAGTAGTAATCAATATTGTGTGCGTGTGTGTG